TGCTTATTCATGGATACCATAGTCTTCTTCATTTTTATGGATCTTATGTTCCAGGAAAAGAGTGAATTTAATGAAGAGGAATCGAACTTAAAAGAAATTATGAAGAACTATCGAGACCGCGCCCTTGAACGTCGCTTGAAGGGGAACGATGTGAGTTGCTCACATGTCTTTGAGTTATATCTTGAGAAACGACTTTTATCTTCTTTTTTATATTGTTTTTGCTTTGTCCGGTTGGAATTTTAATGGTATTTTCCATCTAGGATAATGATGAGATCGTCAAATTGGCGGCAGCTTATCGTGCAATGCCAGGAGATGCTCGTGCAGTTACAGATAAAGCGAATTTGAGGAGACAAGTCATTGAGGTAAGACTTATGTTCAGCTGAAGCATGACTTACTTTTTTTATTTTTTCAAAATTAAAATCTAGTTGCTATATGATTTGAAATTTATATTTTCTGTTTTTGAACCATTTCTGGTCCCAAATGAATTGTTTGTTTAGGAATCGAAGTACCTCGGAGGAGATATGGAACATACTCACTTGGTAAAAGGTCTTGATTATTCACTTCTTAACAAAGTACGGAGTGAAATCAACAAATCGCAAGCGGAAGTCGAGGCTGAGGATGAGCTAGAAATGGCTTATGTGGGTTAACCATCTTGTATGAATTTTCATTCGATTCATTCATGCTGCCACTTCAGGATCAGAAAGGTACAGAAGCAGTAGAAAAGATGTCAGACAACAAAATGGTTAGAGGAATCCATCGAATTCTGTTCAAAAACGAGCTGCCGGCACGGAACGAATTATTTGGCAAGGGACGAATGGCATACGTTGTTGATATGGAGGATGAAGAGGCTGAAATTCCTACGACTCTACTACGGTATGGATTGACTTAAAATCTCGTTCTTTTGCTAAAGATACCAATCATTCGTTTTTTTGCATCCTTTTACGTGTTGTTTGACAGATCACTGCACGATTGTCCGAAAGCTGAATCTAACGCTAATATCAACGCCAACAATATGTTGATATCAAAGCTGACTCAGGTATATATTTTCACCCCTGAATTTTGAATAAAGCACCTTTTATAGAATCTTGTCCTTTTCAACCTCTGGTGCACTTATTCAGGTACTCTCATATCTCCGTTCTGATCATAAAAAGAAGAAGAAGCCAGATATGACTGATGAGGAGGTGAAGAAATATCAGTCCCAGAGCATTTACGATAATGAGGGTGAATACGCCCCGAAAAGGGACAAGGATCGGTTTGTTTTAGTTTCTTTGATATCAACTTTCATGGTGAAGGGTGTCGTTCAGAGATCGCAAAGACAAAGACAAGGATAGG